ATGAAAAATTTCCACTTAGTAACATAAGTGAAATTCTTGATTCCTTGGGCAACTCTGTATATTTTTCGCATCTAGATTTAGCTCAATCCTACTATCAGCTGGAATTAAATCCTAATTGCAGAAGGATTACGGCTTTTACAACCGACAAAGGTCAATTCCAAATGAAAAGATTGGCCATGGGTATGAAAATCAGCCCCAGTGCTTTTTCTCGTTTAATGACAATTGCAATGACAGGTTTGAATAATGAGTCTTGTTTTGTCTATATGGACGATTTAGTTGTATTTGGGCACTCCCTTCAAAACCACAACCAAAATCTAACAAAAGTTCTGCAAAGACTTCGAACTGTCAATCTCAAACTTAACCCAAACAAATGCGATTTTTTAAAAAAGGAGTTTTTATATTTAGGTCACAAAATTTCTTCAGAGGGTTTAATGCCTGATGAAGCAAAAGTTGAGGCAGTTTCAAAATTCCCTGTACCGAAAAATAGCGACGAAACCAAAAGGTTTGTTGCTTTTGTAAATTATTATAGAAAATTTATAAAAAACTTTGCTGAAATTGCATATCCTCTTAATATACTATCTCGTAAAGGTGTAAAGTTTTAGTGGACTGACCAATGTCAACAATCGTTTAATAAATTGAAGACGGCACTTATGAACCCCCCTGTGATGCAATACCCAGATTTTTCACCCAGTAATCAGTTTATACTTACCACAGATGCGAGTGGATATTCCTTAGGTTCAGTTTTAGCTAACGCAAACAATAAACCTGTTGCGTTTGCATCTCGTAGTTTAAACAAAGCGGAACGTAATTACTGTACGATAGAGAAGGAATTACTAAGTATAGTGTGGTCCGTAAAACACTTCCGACCATACTTATATGGCAAAAAATTTAAAATACTTACTGACCATAAACCACTGATCTACTTGTTTAATATGACCAACCCCTCAAGTAGACTTATCAAATTTAGGCTAATTTTGGAAGAATTTGATTTTGTTGTCGAGTACGTACGAGGTAGAGAGAATGTGGTAGCGGATGCTTTGTCACGTATTATAATTGATTCGTCTGAACTAAAAGATATGAATGCGAGTGTGAATGAAAGAGTGCATGTATTAACTAGGGCTCAAAACCAAACAAAAAATGGCAATGACCAGGAAAATACAACTAGAAATGACAGGCTTGATCACCCTGTTGTTGTAGAAGTATTAAAACGTCCATCTACGATGGTAGAGTTACGTTTGCTCACAAATAAAGAATTCGAAAAAATTAAAAATAACCAGGACATTAAATTTGATAGTATATTTTACGACGAAAAACTGCAAGTTATTTATTGTAATCAGGATTTTCGATCATCGTCGGACTTAGGTAAGTCGATGAGAAACCTGAGCAAAATTTGCAAATTAAAAAATATTCCGGAATTATATGTTATGAAAAATATTAACAGCGCTGAATTTTTAAATATGTTACGTAAAAATAAAAAGAAGTTAATAGAAAATAATATTAAATTATGTGTAATTAAAGATAGAGAGAGAATCGATGGAAAAGAAATGAGAAATCTTATTTTAAACGACTTCCATTCTTTACCTACAGGAGGACACGCAGGTGTCAACCGTATGTATAACAATATTAAAAAACGATACTTTTGGCCTAGTCTTAAAAGCGACGTAGAAAAGTTCGTAAAAAAATGTGATAGCTGTCAAAGGTACAAATATTCGGAACCAAATAAAGAACCAATGGTTATAACTACAACAGCTTCTTCTGCGTTCCAAAGAGTTTTTCTTGATATTGTAGGACCTTTACCTACAGATCTGCTAAATTATAAGTACATATTAACTATCCAATGTGAACTTTCGAAGTTCGTTGAAGCTTACCCATTTGAAAACAAAGAGTCAGAAACCGTAGCAAGGTCCTTTATTCAAAATTTTATTTTACGTTTTGGTATTCCTTTAGAAATCATAACAGATCAAGGTCAAGAATTTATGTCAAATATATTTAAAGATATCTGCAAAATTTTAAAAATAAATAAAATTCATTCTACGGCACACCATCACGAGACCCTTGGAAGTATTGAAAACTCACATAAAAGTCTAACTTCTTATTTACGAATGAACTGTACGAATCAGCAAAACAATTGGAGCTCTTTTGTTAGTTTTTGGACTTTCTCTTACAATAATACAGTACATTCCTCAACTAAATATACTCCCTTTAAGCTTGTTTTTGGTTTTAAGTGTAGAATACCTTCTAATATAACAACAAAAGTAGATCCAGTTTATAATTTTGACAGTTACCCATTCGAACTTAAGTATAGGCTACAAGTCGCATGGAGTGACGCCAGAAATAATTTAATCACATCCAAACAAAAGCGTAAAGAGCGTTACGACGAAAGGTAGAAATCAGTTATTTACCAGATAGGTGATTTAGTTTTAGTAAATAATAAGAATATGGATAATAAATTAGATGCTTTATACAAAGGTCCTTATAAGGTGATAGACATTAACGAATCAAATTTAGTTCTTAAAATAGATAATAAGAATTGTGAGGTTCACAAGAACCGGGTTAAAAAATATAATATAATATAGATTGTTAAGATAGGTTAGGATTAGTTATAGATTAGGTATGGGTAGAATGTAAAAAAAAACATTAGAAAATATTTTTTTTCTTTTTTCAACGGGAAAGGTGTAGTGGAAAAGTCATAAGGCTTTAAATAATAATTATTATAAACTTATTTTGCAATATCAGTAGAATATCGAAATCATAGTTTAAATTATATTGCTTAGCAATTATGCTTATCTTGTATTTTATACGTGTTAATGAACTTACCGATATGTTATACTGTCTGTAAACCAATAATTAAAACATAGAATAAATCGAACACCGTTCCTGTGAAGACCTATTCTGTTTCCTTGACTCATGCTATGAGTTCGAACCTTACCCCAAAATATTCAGACATTACATGATGGTAAAACTTTTTCTGATATTAACAGTGGATCATGCTGCAAAATCGATTTTTTTTTTAAATAACAAGTATTCACTTAAACTTATTTTATATCAAGATGCCTTTGAAATATGCAATCCGATTGGATCCTCCCGTAAAAAGCATAAAATAATCGGTATTTATATGTCACTAGCGAATATTTACCCCTGGCATAGATCTCAAGTGGAAAATATACAATTAGTGGCACTTGTTTATGATAAGCATATAAAAAAGTTTGGGTTTTCTGCAGTATTTAAGGTGATAATTAATGATATAAAAAAATTGGAAACCACTGGAATTAAAATAATGGATACCTTTTTTAGAGGTGGGGTTGTTTGTATTGCTGGTGATAATCTGGGTAGTCATGAGGTCGGTGGTTTCCAACAAAACTTCAATCCGTCAAGTTGTTTTTGCCGATTCTGTTATATAAGTAACATTAACGATAATTCTAAATTTCACCAATTAAGAACCAAGGATTCATATGAATTTGACTTAAATATGATAGCAGCGACTAATGGAATGTATAGAGGAGTCAAATCAGATTCAATTTTAAACGATTTAAACTATTTTCATGTATGTCCTGCTGGGTTACCGCCATGTATGCCATGTATGTCACAGGACCTTTACGAAGGAATTGTTCAGATGGATTTAATGCTTGCAATTAATACATTAGTTTCTCAAAATATTCTCTCTTTGGAAAATTTAAATTCAAAATTCCAAATATTAAAATTAGAGCAGGAACGAAAATATTGTTTGCCACTACTTGTCAAAAATAAAGAGAAGCTTCCAGGTACTGCGTCCCAAAATATGTGGTTTCTCATTTTAATGCCTTTTGTAGTAATCGAAAACGAAAGACTAATTGATAACAAAATCTGGAAAATGATTTTGTGTTTACGAGAAATTAGTAATATACTTTTGGGGTTTAAAATTTCGATAGGCCAAGTTGCAATTTTAAAAGGTTTAATTAATGAGTACATAACTATGCGAAAACATATTTTTCCTGATATCACTCAAACCTAAACACCACTTTTTACAGCATTATCCTCACCTCATAAAATCGTTAGGCACACTACGACATTTGTGGACGATGCGCTTTGAAAGTAAGCATCAATACCTTAAACGTGCCGTAAGACATACCTCAAATTTTAAAAATGTCCTTTTTTCACTGTCGCAAAAGCACCAGTTGTTACAAGCTTTAAATTTATCACAAAAGAATCGGTATGAGGATAAAGTAACATCGAACGATGATATAAAAATATTAAATAAAAATAATTTCTCACTTGAGTTAGCAACATTGTTCGAAAATAATTTTCTCCTTAATGATTATAATTTTGTTAGTAGTGATGTTACCTTTAGAGGTATCAATTATAAATATGGTTCTATTGTTTGTTCCGAAAAAGACGGTTTTTGTTATTTCATATTATGCCAAATTAAGTACATTTTCATTAGTAGAGAATTTGATGATCTATGCTTCATTGGAAAAAAAATCAGAGTATGGTACAACGAATGCACAGGCTTATATGAGGAACATAATGAAGAAAATAGTATTGAAATATGTGTTAAGTTTAAAGATATGATTAACGTTGAAACTGTTCTACAATATAAATACGATGAGACAACTTTCCTTTATTATTTTAAATCTGCACCTTTTGACACTTTTGAATATTAAGTAGAAACCAGTTTTAAAAATAGTATTGTTTTGCTTTGTATTAATTTCGATCTAAATCGGTACCTTAGAATGACAATGTTAAGCGAAAGTGACTTTATCTACAATATTAAATATTGCAGATAAGGCATTTTTCTTAACATGGCAACTGCACCTAGAACCTTGTCATTCTAAGGTACCGAAATATATAACTTATGTTTAAATTTTATTACTCGTGATAAATGTTATTTTCTATAAGTTTCCATAATGTAAACGTTGTTTTAGAGTTAGATCTGATGAATTTGTTTTTAATTTACTTAATTTAAATTGTATAAATACTGCCTTATTTTTCATGCTTTTAGAAAGAAATGTTGCTTTTTAAAGTGTGGAGCGCAGATAGGCAGAAAAAAAACATTTGTCGCTTTACCTGAAACTACAGCTAATATCTGCAATCAGCTAATTCTAAAAGGTAAGCACGGAACAAAGTAACTTTCAAAGATCTCCTTGCAGAATACATCAATATTTTAATACAACATTGTTTTTTCTTATTATAGCATCTGAAAAGTTGGAGATAGATGGGATTTTACTTGTAGTAGAGAAAGATGGAACCCCGATTTCCGAAGATGAAGTTCTACTTCTTCTACCTGGAGAAACGTTTTTGTTGTTAACAAATAAAGATAAATGGATCTCTCCATTGGAATATTCAGCTCTGAGTAGCACATTATCAAATCCAGAAACATGGATTTCTCCATCAGATCATTCAGTTCCATGTAGCTCTTCAAGTGGATCTTTTGATGTGCCAGTTGCAAAAATGATAGTATCAGCTATAGCTGATAATGAAGCTCAAGTTATATCTACACCAATATCGGCACAGTTGCATAGTATAATAAACGTTGATTGTAATTATGAGACTCTTTGGATTGATTACGAAATCCCATGGAATAAGGTACCGTCCTTTATAATGGAGGCTTGCGAAAAAGGTGAAGTTGGTGATGCTATGGTGACGGAAATTATACATATCATTATTAACTCTATGAAAGAGATAAAGGCAAATATTCCTGCAAAAGCATTGCACATTGTAGCGAATAAATTAGTTGACAAGTATCCGGATGTCTTTAAGGACAAGGATCATGACAATGTGACAATAGGAGATGGAAGGTATTCTATTTTTAAGAAACTACAAGACAGAAATTTTTACCTGCCACGCCCAAATAAACGCAAAAATGATAATATTCACCAAACAATATTAAAAAATTCCAAAAAGCAACTAAACGCTAAAGCAGGTTGCCCCAATTGGCAGCCTCCAATAAAGCATGATGACTGTTGGACTCAGGACATGAAGCAAGATTTAAATAGCTATATAAATAAAGAACTTAATCAAGAATTTTACAAGTTGCTTGAAAAAGCATTTCAACACCAAAGGTTGTACATAAATGCTCAGAAGCCCCCATCTTTGGAGGATATTCTAGCCGAATGGCCAATTCTTTTTTTGAAGGAGACCATAAAATGGCATTTCAACTTTTTAACCAAAAGTAATTTTGACAAACTACGACTAGATTTAGAATCCAAATCAGCGACAATTTTGGATTTTATGTGTAAAAAAAAGAAAGTTGATCAGTCAAAGAACAATTACTCGCTTCATTTAAATGCATTAATTACTTTTGCTATATACTTTAAAGAAGATTTTTCAGTGTTTATTTTTGATTTTGAGGTAAGATGTCTAATTTATATTATAATCAATAATTTAATAATCTCCTATTTTGCAGGGCTCAGACACGCGTACACTAAAGAAAAAATCAAGATAAACTCTCCATGTGTAGTAAAAAATGGTGAGTGTTAATATTTTTATGTATACATAAAAAATATCGCTGTGACTAGAGGCACGCTAACGTGCTGGCAAAGGCACGTTAGTTACGTCATAATAATAATCCGTTTTTGTTCCCCGAGCGTTACATAATTGATGTCAAGCTAGATGGGTTGGGTTAGTTGGTTTGGTTGGTATGTTTTAGTTTTATCGTAACATAAAATCTTAAAATTATGATGTAAAATAATTATGACGTAATTAACGTGCCTTTAACATTCCGAATCGCGGCACGTTAGCGTGCCTCTAAATATACGTAAACGTGGCTTTTGTATAACCATAACATGTGTATAAATGAATTTCTATTTTTATTAAATTTTAATGGCACCTACCTGGTAAAGTAAGTAAGCAAGATGTTTTTAAAATAACCTTAATTAAAATAGTTTTGGGACCAATTAATTCCTCATATGAATTTTTTTAATTTCAAGAAATTCTGCCAGTTTTACTAAATTATGTTATTTTTTTATGATATAAATGGCAACTTTGTCTCCTCAAATTAAAATTGCATTCACAATTTAATTGAATCCTTTTGGTAGACTTACTTACAAATAATTCTTACTTAGTGCAAACAATTGGGAATTACTCATAAAGTAAAAATTAATTATTATTTCAGAAAATGTTTACCAGATATATATGGAAAAAAAACATTTAGTGTCGTGGGACAACGATGTTGATGCTGTAGCGGCAGCTTTTGCTCTGCATTATATATTAAACTTGGAATATCCCAAACAGTTAAGTACGACTTTTGAACTTATACAGCGATATTTCTTTAAAGTTCACCCTGATGTCGGAAGCAAATCAAGTAAAATGACTACCACAAAACAAAAAGTGGTTGCCCTAATGAAAAAACTTAATTTTTAATAACTGCTATGTTGAAAAATTATTAGGTACCAATTTTTTTTATTTTGTTTACGTATGTTATGTTAATAAACTGGCTGTTGTAAGGCCAGCCGTATACATATAATATTTAGATTTGCAGTTTGATTCTTAGGCCAGCCGCAGACATGCAATTTTTAGTTGCGTGAAAGTTTTCTTTTTTATAGTCTAAGTCAAAATGTCTTGACTTAAAAAAAATATCACGCAAATAGTTGCAAAACTACAAATTGCATGTCTGCGGCTGGCCTTAATGGCTGAAGTCCGCTGACATATAAAAACAGTTTTTTTTCAATAGCCTGGGTTTGGATACATGTGTAAGTGATTTCATATAAACCAATGGCAGTATACTGCACCCACAATCAAACCGTTGCATAAATAAAAATTGCATGTCTGCGACTGGCCTAAGAGTGTATTTTTTACGTTGTTTTTTTGGAAATTATTATGTCAGATGTTGATTTTTTATTTTAAATAATTAAATATTATATCATACTATTAACATTTATAAAGGTATAAAAATCACTATATCACTGTATACATACATGTATATAATTATTATTAAAAAAATGATAATGATAATAATATGATATCATAATTTAAATAATATGCCATGTTAGTTTTTAAATTTTCAAAATAAAAAATGTAAATATTTTGTATCTTTTTAAGTTTTACTTACCTGCCAACCTTTTTTATTTATTTTGTTACAAGGTGTATAAAATTATAATATTATCAGTAAATTTAAAGTTTTATTTAGAACCTTAAAACTTGACGGAGTGGTTAACGCCAAAATTTGTTTATTTTTATTTAATCAGTTTACAACCTTAAAATTATTGGTAGTACTTTTCAAGTGATGTGTCCAAAATTAAATCAAGCCTTCTTTCTAATTATATAAACATAGCAAAGCATAAGCATAACATTTATATAAGTACAAGCTATGCTATTTTCTCTAATTAGTAAAAAGGCTTTTGGACGCATCTTTGAAAAAAGTGAGACATGAAAAATTTTATATTGTTAATTAGTAATTAGAACATTGAAGGTAGCAATTAAAGCCAAAATTTGTTTACATTTACTTGGGTGAAGCAGTCCCTTAACATTCGTGGCAGTATGGCTTTTAATTAGTTACACAGATTTTTTATCAGTTGAACTCTTAAAAGGTACTACCAATGAATTTTAGGTTGTAAACTCCTTCTCCTAAATAAAAATAAACGAACTTTAGTGTTAATTGCCACGTCCAGTTTTGAGGTTCTAAATAAAAATTTAAATTTACAGATTTAGTGTCGTAATTTTACATAAAATCTGTAGACAGTAAAATCACAGTAAGTATATTGTAATATTACATTAAAAGTTGCGTTATTTTACGTAGAATCTATTTTACATAAGACCTGTAAAATTACAGAACATCAGTAGTTTTACGTTATGCACCTATTACAGAAATTCTGTGATTTTACTTAACATATGTAATCCTCACAAAGCTACTGTAATTTTACTGAACAAAATGCAGGCAACAAATAACCCCCATTTTGTTCAGTAAATTTACAGAAATCCTTTTTTCAGTGTAGGAAAATATGAAACTTAAATTACACTTGTTTGTGGTATTTAACAAAACATTTTACATGGACGCCAACGTCGCATTTTTGACACCTCGTTGTTGTCTTTGTGTGGCAATGACGGCATTTGGTCTGCTTTTCTTGGGGAATCACATAATGTTCAATTTTGTCGAAACGTATCGCAGCATTTTCATTTTTCCCAGGACGTCCGGTAGCACTAGTTGTTTTTTTTTATTTTGAGTCAAAAGTCCTACTGTTATCTCACGTCTAAATGCTAAATGATCATGCAAACCCTTATCATTTTTGTGATTTTTCCATGCATTGTGGACCATCATGTCGATACCATGTGACGCAAGGGGAAAATACCATTTTTTACCCCGGATGGATATTCTATACAAACTTATATTTTCATCGCACCTGTCAACTCCTCCCATGTTGGTGTTGTACTTTTTTATTACATAAGGTTGTTTTATCTGGATACTTTTCTTGTCTTTTTGAGAATATCGTTTAACAGTTTGCTGAGGTGTAGCACCAATGGCATTTGAGCACATGGTTACTATATTGTTGTCGTTCCACTGAACAGCGACTAAACTGTGATCTTCTGAAACTCTGCATTCGTAGTCCCCTCGTTTACCTTTTTTTAAATTAATATTTAAAAAAGGATTGTTATTTAGCCTGTTAGTTCGGATAGTTCCACTGCCCTTTATATTTTTAGAAAATAAATTGACAAGCAAATCCACAGAATTAAAAAAAATATCGATATAAAAATGAAACTTATCTTCTAGCGGCCAGTTGGTCTGGATTTGGTCAGCATATGACAGGACTAAACCAGCACCTACGCCTAGATCTTTATATTTGTCACCAACGTGTGTATTTGCACCTTGATATGGTTCAAACCAATTTACGTACCCCAGTCGAGAACAGCCTATCCACAGTTTGTATCCATACCTGATAGGCTTTCCACGGATGTACTGCTTACATCCGTGGCGCCCATAGTAAGGCACCATGGCTTCATCAATACTGTGGGATTTTTCTAGAGGGGCATGTTCTAAAAATGTTTTATTTAGATGGATAAAAAAAGGACGTACTTTGGCAAACTTGTTATCCTTGTTTAGGGTATTATTGTCAGAAAAGTGCAGGTTACTCATTATTAACTCAAACCGGTCTCTAGATATCGCATTTAAAACTAAATCATTATGAGTATCTTTCTCTTTTTCAAAAAACATACGCCTTCTTGGTAGTTGTACGTAGCTGCTCAAAAGAAGAACACCAACAAATGCTCGTATTTCTTGTGAAGTAACGTTTGATGGTTTGTTTTTTTGACTTGCGTATCTAAAATGCTTTTATAATGAATTTGACCTAATAAAAAAACATTTCTTACCTATTTGTCTCAGTTACCATAAGATCAACTAACTCATCAATAAAATATTTCTCAAAATGTTCAAGAGGTGTGAGGGGCTTAGTATTGGGCAAATCAATTTCCCCTTCTTCATCTGTTTTAGGGTCATCTAAATCCACGGTTTTCCAGACAATCTGATTTTTTTTTTATTTTCTGAGTTCTGTTTTTATTTACCAGTGGTTTTTTCACCAGACAAGCAAGGGAACAGTTCATTTCTTCATCAGAGCTATAGTTATTTCTGCAGGTGCTCTTAGCTGACTTGCTGGCAGATTTTCCAATACAAACACCTCCGGAATCTTCATCGGTAATGTTTCCACAGGCATTTTCTGGTGGAAGCAAAACTATTTCAGCATTAGTTTCAACATTACCATCGTTGTCACTGTTATATAACATGGATAGGGCTTCATTTAGAGAAACCTTTTAAAAATAAATAAAAAAATATGATAAACTAATATAGATACCTAAATTCCTAACGTCCTACATAAAGGACGCCTGAAATTACTCCCCTCTGAAGGGTACCAGTTACAAATTTTTGTGGTAATTATAAATGCAGAGCCTACTTACATTGTTTTTTTAACAAATATCATGTTATATAAACTTAAATTTTAATAAATAGTGTCTAAAAACTTACCCTGTAAAATTCACGTTACAGTGAGTCATTTAAAACTAAAGTAAATCAACAATTAACCACTAAAAATACAGAAATAACTGCCACGCGACACTAATTATTTACAAACCGGTCTATTCGAAAAGCACGAGTCGAGTCGAGGAAGGTCGACTGCAGCCTGGAAGGTTTTGGCGCCAAGATTAAAACAACGTCCTATATTAAGGACTGGGTTAAGAAAAGGTTAAGAATTTATTTGGACCGAAGAATGCCAGAAATCTTTTGATGAAATGAAACAACTATTATGCACTCAGTCTTTATTGACAATTTTTGATCCAAATCTACCTTTACACATCTATACAGATGCAAGCCTTCTAGGAGTTGGAGCTGTACTAAAACAACCACAGAAAAACAAAGAAGAAAAACCAGTGGCATACTTTTCAAAGAAACTAAATGAAGCACAGAAAAGAAAAAAAGCCATATACCTAGGATGTCTTGCAATAAAAGAATGTGTAAAATAC